ATATATTTTTGATATATATACATATATATATAATATATATAAATATATGAAAAATTGATGTGGGTACTTAAATGAAAGGTCTTGATGAGTGTAACATCGGGATGAGCTTATATCTTTAAAAATGTCAATAGTTCTCAAGATACAAGGTCATTTCTTAATTATGTATCTAGAGATAGAACATTTTCGAACATAGCCTAAATACTTATTATCATAAATTGACTATTGGTGAGAATAATATGAAACCTTAAAAAAACATAACTTCATGGTTATTGTTATTATGGTTGAAAATTGATGATAATAATAATAATTAATTATTTAATTGTTTAGGCTGGAACCGTCAACAGAGGAAGTGAAGTTATAGCAGCAGGTATGGTCGTTAACGATTGGGCCAGTTTCTGTGGAATGGACACAACTGGTACTGAAATTTCAGTAATTGAAAGTGTGTTCAAGCTAAACGAGTCGACACCATCAGCCATCACTTCAACGATGAGAGCATCGCTGATCGAGAGGTAATTTTAATAATGATTATTATTTAAAAAAAAAAAAAAACTTTGATAAGATAACAATTATCTAATACTCAATAATATTCTTTTTTTTTTTTCAGCATGTCTTAAACTGCTCCGGAAGACATTTCATTTTATATATAATAATAATTAAATAATTATAATGATTAAAAATAATAATGTTAGTGTAAATAAAAAAAAAAAGAAATTTTCACTGACAATAAAATTTATTCGAATTCAAGATTGTCTTTTAATTCTATACAAACACAAGTAATTCCTAATAATTAATTTAATAATAAATTGCTTAAAATAAATATTCAATTATTTTGATATCAACAAACAAGCTTATAATTAATTATTTAAAAACTTCAGAGTAGAAATACTAAAAATAAAGTTTGACAAAACAATAAAGAACTTTATTTTTATTTAAAATTTTAATTGAATTAAAAATCATTGAAAGAGGAAGATAAATATTTAAATAGAAATACACAAAACAAATTTAATAATTTTTCGTTGAGGAACCTTAGTTAACAATTAGTGAACACTATATAAAATTCAGTTATATAAAACTGAAAAACTATACACCAGCTCACGACTGTATTTTCAATAGCTTAGTCAGCGAGGCAGGGAGATTCTATTTTTTATAATACTTCTAATTATTCAATTTTATTATTACCTATTGAAAGGGATTTTAGTAATTATCGTAATTCCGTTGTTTAGACATCTCTTAGCCAAAAAAAATGTTAGCGAGCTCAATTAATTACAATCATGTATTATTTTATTAAATTAATTATTACTTATTTCTCTCTTTCTTTCTTTCTTAATTTATTTATTTTTTTTTAATTTTGTAGCTTCTTGTCATTATCAATTTATTCTCTTTAGTAATGATGGATATGATAATGAGACTAGAGTAATGGTAATTCCTCAGCTTGAAGCAATTCTTCGGCTGCAGCTGCATCTGATCGCATTACTAGTGTAATACCTGACTGATAAGACGCAGGAATACGGATATGCGTTGCGCTAAATGTTCCTGTTGTTGGTTGCGGTCTCTGGCCAAGAGACTCACGAATTATATTCACTACTTGACCTACGCATAAAAATTAATAAATTAATAAATAGAATTACAAACTATAATAATTAAAATTTTTCTTAATTATATAATGACTTTTGTTAAAATGTACTGTACTTTCTTAACTATTGACGTTAATAAAGATATAAGCTCATCCCGGCATTACAATCATCAGGAGCTTTCATTTGAGTACCCACATGCATTTTTGATATATTTTTCATATATATATACATAAATATATGAAAAATTGATGTGAGTACTCAAATGAAAGGTCTTGATGAGTGTAATTTCAGGAGGAGCTTATATCTTTAAAAATGTCAATATTTCACAAAATACAAGGTAATTTCTTAACTATTGACATTTTTAAAGATATAAGCTCATCCCGATGTTGCACTCATCGAGACCTTTCATTTGAGTACCCACATGGCATTTTTTATATATTTTATATATATATATGGTATTTGTGAAATACATAAATATGTAAAATATATGAAAAATTGATGTGGGTACTCAAATGAAAGGTTTCGATGAGTATAACATCGGGATGAGCTTATATCTTTAAAAATCTCAATAGTTCACAAGATATAAGGTCACTTCTATATTATGTAGCTAGAGCTAGAGCATTTTCGAATGCAGCCTAAGTATGAAGGATGTTTTTAATTACCAAGAACATTAAGCCTTCGCCAACGATGGTCCATATTTATAAGTGGTGTCATATCTGTCGAAGAGTTCCAGTGAGCTAAAACGTCATCTCGACGAACCAACAAGACACTTGGACTCACTAACTGATGCCAAACAAGCTGAAATTTATCAATAAAATTCATTAAAAAATTACAAAACAATAAATAATAATTTTTACAATCAATATTAATTCAAAATTACTTGTTCAGGAAGACATTCAAGAGGATTTGTAAAGTATATACCCGCTTGGCTGACTCCAAAAATCATCTGATGGTGCCAAGCGTCTGGTATTTTAGATTCTTTACTACAGTTTTGAAGATTCAATGTCGCGATTGGAACCGCGCCTACAATAAAAAATTAATTGAATTATTTATTACTGTCATTTAGAGATAATGATAATTATTTATTACTGTCATTTAGTGATAAAGTTGATGTAAGCAAAAAATACCTCGTGAAATCCAGTAATGAAGCCAGTGTGAAAGCGATATCGCTCGTTCCGGATAAAAGGCAAAAAACTTAGTTATCACTGCGCCACTACTCGCCAGAGAAATACCTCGAATAACGTCTTTATGAGTCGCTCCCGCTCTTGATCGACTCAGCAGATATCTCGGCAAGGGAGTTCCTGGTTCACGGAGTCTTGTCGCTACGCTTTTTACCAATACTTCTGGTGAAAATGGCACATCTAATGCGAGCTGCACATTTTATTTCATAGTTAGCAAAAATTTGAATTATTTTTTATATTAATCTTAATTGAGAGATTACGGTGAAAATATTAATCGCTTGGAAAAATTAAAAAAAATAAAAAGTTGTTCAAAATTTAACAGTGTAAAAAAATGTCTCTTATAATTTTTTCTCAAGACCAATAATACGCAATTATAAAATTAAGATTTTTATAATTAGCAAAAATTTGAATCATTTTTTATTAATCTTAGCAAAAATCATGGCTCTAATTATTATTAATAATTAAAAAATTAAAGAATAATTACAAGAGCATTAATAGCAGACGTTGCACCACATGCAGAGGTTCCGATCTGCGTAACTTGTTTAGCAGCGGCTTCTTGTTCGCTCCAAAGCATTACTCTTTCAACCGGTTGTAAATCATCCAATTTATCATTACACAGGTCATTTTCCTAAAAAAATTCCATCAATTATAATTTTAATTAATTTTAACTAATAAAATACTATAAATAAAAAAAATAATCAAACCAAATTGGACTCTCCACTCTGATTAAATGCCGTTTGTTTGTGCAGCATCAGTTTCTTAGCCATCATTCTGTGCCACAGAGTCGAACTCAAGTTGACCTTTAACCCATTAACTGTTGAATTTTCCGGCAATGGAATAGCCGCAGCGTCAGCCCACAGTTCAGAATCAGCATCTCTGTTATCACCAGGAGAAATTAAATCCCCGCTTGTGTTGTGATAACCATGCGACTCTCTCGTTGGAATTCCACCGTGATTATATAAGCTAGCTCCGACTTTTCCTGAGGAATAATTAATTTTATATTCACGCGAAAGTTACATAAGCAAATTAATTATCAATTCTAAAAACTAACTTATGCCAGAACTGGTACTAGGTAAGCATTGCGCAACTGGATTATGATTCAAGCCGCTAGTAGACGGTCCATCCAAAGAAACACTGTCCTGAATTTCCAACTCAACGCTGACATTTTGCTCATTCTGAGCCTGAGGTAGAGACTCTGGCCTCTGAACTTTTCCACCGCTTAAGTCATTGAGAAACACTGAATCAGCCTCCGCATTGTCCAGCGCAATATTCTGGATGTCTTCGTTGATAGACGCTAGATCGCTGTCTCCAGTGTCCTACACATTAAAAATTAACAAATTATAATTATTTAATTAATGGAAATTGAAACAAAAATTTACCTGCTCACACGAAGGTCCAGGATCGAAATCCATCTCCAGAAAATCCATTTCGGGGCTCGACCTACCGCTCAGTTGTTGGCCAGCAGCTTCTTGATTCTCTGCAAGTCCATTACGATGCCTCTCGTCTACTTCAGCTTCATCGTTGCCTTTATATGTGTATATACAATAATCTTCATCGTCAGAAAAATCATCACCTTCATTTTCTGAACTGGAGTCTCTTCTATCATTTTGTTCGCGCTTTAAAATAAATTATTAATATATTTTACTATAATTATTATTAAAAATTCTAATTATTAATTACAATGACCGGTATAAGGTAAAAGACCCTTGCAATTTTATTTTAATTAAAAAAAAAAAAATCAACGAATAAATACTAGCAACCTTGGAGTCACTATGTGACTGCCGTGGATTGTAAACTATAAATAAATAAAATTTTGCTTTATTAAACAATGACTTTTGTTAAATTGCACTGTACTTTCTTAACTATTGACGTTTTTAAAGATATAAGCCCATCCCGATGTTAGACTCATCAAGAGCTTTCTATATTTATATATATGGTATTTGTGAAATATATAAATATATAAAATATATGAAAAATTAATGTGGGTACTCAAATGAAAGGTCTCGATGAGTGTAACATCGGGATGAGTTTATATTTATAAAAATTTCAATAGTTCACTAGATACAAGGTCATTTCTTAATTATGTATCTAGAGATAGAGAATTTTCAAAGAATATAGATAATTTTTTAATTATAAATATTAAGATAATTGTTTTTTTTGAGAACATTTTATTTTTTTAACTAGAATAAAATTGCAAGTGTTAAACAACAAGGCCAGTGTCAATGATTAGATCTTTCACCTTAGTTATAAAAAATAAAATAAAATAGTTTATTATAAAACAAATTACCCTAGATAATCCACTTGGACCGGCAGTTTCTCTGCTGCCATTAATATTAGGTCGTAAAACGCAACAAGTACCTTGACTTGTTGACCCAATGCTCGCAATATTATTAAGCGAACTAGACCACGTAGCTCCCAGCTCATTATTAAGATTACATGACACTTTTGGCGGGCATTTATTAATACCAGAATTATAGTCGACATTGTTAATCATATCCGGATCCTCTGGAGTACCGTCGTTGGATCCCGACCCGGAGACCAAAGACGGAGATGGCAAATTTTCAGTTGTCATTGCCACTGACTGACAACCGTTCATACATACTGATAGATTTGATTGTAAATTAGAGTTACTGTTGATTGAAAGTGGAGGATTTGTACTTGTGTATTTATATGGAATTGTTTCGTTGTCGGTCTCCATTTTCGATGATGTACCATTAGGCACTGAAATAAAAATATTAATAATTATTATAAATAATAATAATTATTTTTTTTTTTATAATAATAAAATAATAATTTACTTACAAATGCCATTTTGGATTTTAGCCTTGCAATTTTTTTCATCGGACATGACATTGTCAGTACCATTAGACTCTTCCAACTCTATTTCAACTTCACCAGCTTCTTTATTACTCGATTCGTTTAAGTTCATTATTTTTATTAATAAAATCTCGGCCCATTAAATTAACACTCGATTAAACAGATCAACGCTGTAAATAAAAATAATTCAATCAATTACTTTCAATCTAAATAGCTACAATAGGACTTGTTGCTCGGTAATAAATATTTTCACGCTGAGAAACCGTTAAGCAAAACACATCACTTCTTTACTAATTAATTTTATGTTAATCAATTATTTAAAAAGTCACCAACTTTGTTTACATCCACGTAATAATTGTCAAAAATATACACTAAAAAACTTTTTTTTTTTTTATGCAAAAAAAAATCTAGGCTTGAGCTTGAGATAATATTTAATAATTACCTGGATTTAAATGAAAAAATAAATTTTTTATCAGCTGACACTTTAATAAATAATTGACATGTAGAATTTCAAAAACTAACTTGATTTTTTAGTAAATAAATAATTTAGCTGCGGAAAATATATTTTTGTCAAGTGAGGCTAATAAATGCTGAGATATATATTTTATGTATATGTATATATATATAAATATAGTTGTGTATATATATATATTTATTAGCGTTTCATAAAACATCGACTCCGGATGTCAGCTGATTAGTCGGAAGTTTGATTTTTTTGACATTTTGGATTTCTCCGCTCATGATAATAATTTGTTTTAATTATTCGCTAAATTTTTATAAACAAAAACATCATCTGACGTTTGTTAATTGGATTACATGTGTTCTGAGAATTGAAATCTTAACAATTAAGAAGAAATTTTATTTTTTTTTTTTATAATTAGGTAAGTTGATTTTTTGTTTATAATTTAATTATATATATTATTGAAAATTTACATACCTTTATATAAAGTTTATAACTTACAAGTACAAATAGTTGAAAACTAACCTATAAAATAAATATTTTTTCTCCAGTGTAAAATGTCTGCAACGATGAAAATTGTCTAGTTTATTTTTTATAACTGACAAATAAACAAGATGAATATTGTTCGGATAAATAGAAAAAATGTTATGATTCTTATCCTGTCTCTAATATTTAATTCAGTTAAGCAAGTTGATATGGGATATGGTAATTATTTATTTATTTATTTATTATGAAAATAAAATCAGCTGACATTTGACAATTTTAATGAATTTTTCTTATTAAAAAAATTAAAAAAAATAAAAATAAAAATTCCACATGTAGAAAATTTAAAGAACTAAAAGTGTAATTAAAAAAAAAATTTTAGTTCTAATTTAATTAATTATAAAAAATAAAAAATTGATAAACGTCAGCTGATTTGAGAATAATTATTTATTAACAATAAAAAATTCTTAAATTGTTAAAGAAAATTATTTTGCAGAGGGTATGATGAGTCACGCTTTCACAAATGTTACTCCAGCTAACAGTAATAAAAAAGTGAGTACAAAAAATTGTATGGTCTGGTTTAGGTCATTTTTGATTTTTTTTAATATCCTTATTATTTTTATTTTAAATTTCAGCAGGATGATTTATATGGTTCATGTCCAATTGGTAAGTTATGTACAGATCTAGGAGGTGATTGTTTGAAGTGCGATCTTGATCCTCATTGTGATTATGGATCGATGTATACTATCAACTGCACAGTTCCTGATTCGGTTGATTGTGTGGTAATTGATTCACTCTATTTTTAATTCATAAAAAAAACTATTAATTATTTTTTTTTGGAGCGAATATTTGATTAATTTTTTTTTTTTAGGGTGAGAAATCATTTACTAAGCAATATATATGCAGATATTGCTATCAAACACATCATTGGGAACACAAATGTCATTTAAAGAATTCATGTAATTCTGTAGCTTCACCTCCGCAATATTATAGGTAAAAAATTGAATTGAAATTAACAGACATTTGATAAATTTTTACATTTTTATAAAAAATTCCAATAATTCAAACTTAATAATTTAATAATTATAATTAATAAAAAAAATTATTTTAGAACTAATTGCACAGTAAATAGTGATATAATATGCTTGGGAAGACGTAAGTTCATGAAAAATCTTCGCTGTAATTGGACTGGAGGATATAAATGGTCAACAGCATTAATCTTAAGTATAACACTAGGTGGTTTTGGAGCTGACAGGTACTTAATTAAATTAAAGCTTTAACTTTAAATTTTACTTGTTTGCTAATGCAAATATTTTTTTTTATTTTAGATTTTACCTAGGACACTGGCAAGAAGGTATTGGAAAACTATTCAGTTTCGGCGGGTTAGGTGTGTGGACACTAATAGACGTGATGTTAATTTCTATGCGATATTTAGGACCAGCAGATGGTTCTTTATACATTTAAATTGTATTTATTTTCAGTGATTCGTTGATGTTAAAGAGATCAAACCAAACATTTATTTATTTATCGTAGATTTAAATAGTTACTTTATACACTTGTTAAATCATACAAAATATTTTGTATTCTTTATAAATATTTAAAATAATTGTACATTATTTTATGAATTTAAATAATTATTTTATTATTATTTACTACAGCTAGCACGTGATGATAATAATAATAATAATAATATGAGAAATGATATTTTCTCCAAAAAATAAAGTGATAATAACAAAATATTATTGTAATTTACCGCTAAGAATATTTTAAATTGTAATTTTGTACTGCAGATGTCACTTATGTTACTGATAAAAAAATAATAATAAAAAGCCATGTGTCAAAAAAAAACTCTTGATTAAAATTTAAAAGGTAAATAAACAGTTGACCTAACCTTTAAATATAAATTACTACTTAAATTATGTTTTGATATTTTTTAAACAATTGGTACTTAAGTAAAATAAATGATTAATCAATTTTAAAAATACCATAAGTATATTTTTATACAATTAAAGAACAGTGTCAATAATTATTTATTATTATTGTATTTTTTAATTGATAACAAAATTATTTAGTAGTTACTTGACTATTTTTTTATTTTATTTAACAATTAAAAATTTTAAAAATTATCAGCTGACTTCAGTATTAGTAATTAATTTTTTTTTTTAATTCTACTAAATCATTTTTTTCATAAATTTATTTTTAGGTTAATTTTAAATTAAATAAAAATGCCGACAGTAATAGCTCTGGATGTGTCTTTATCAATGAGACGTCCTGTGATATCAACAGGAATAGATGCATCACAAAATGAGCAATTGACTAGGCATCATCTAGCAGTGCAGGGTATTCACACTTTATTAAATTATCTACAAGTTAATTCTAAATTGGAGTTCGTCTCACTAGTAAGTTAAATTATGTTTTAATTGATAATTTGTTAAACATACTAAATAATAAATAATAATAATGATAATGATTGGTCTCAGGTTGTTTTTTCTTCGCTGTATGAATTAATCTGTCCGTTCACCCGCGACTATGACAGCATACGTTCTCGGCTGCAGATGATAGAAGAGCGCGATAAGACATGTATAGAGACCGCGTTGCACGGGGTTAATAGCGTAATAATGAGCGAATGGGGCAATTCGACAGCATGCCAGGTTATTTTGATCACCGATGGAAATCCAGGAGTCGGTGCAATGTCTTTAGGACATTCTCTTAAATCACTACATGTTGCTCGTGAGAATCCATTTCCTTTGCCGTTTCCTTTTCCTGGTAAACTCAGTGTTGTCTGTATCGCTTCTCAGCAAGGTAAATTTTATTTTATTTACCTCATTAATTTAAATATTTTTATAAGATAAAAATTAATTAAATAAATTATTACAAAAAAAAAAAAAGAAAAATTTAAAGAGCAATTTTTTAAAAATATTTTTTTATTTTTTAGTTCTAATTTAATTAATAAAAAAAAATTAAATGCTAACACTTGATAATTTTTTAATTAAAAAATAAAATAAATAAAAGTCTAGTAAATTATTTTTAAAAAATTACCTTTAAATGTTTTTAGAATGGAATTTTTTAAATAATTTTTTTTTGCTCTAATTTATTTATTATAAAAATTTTAAAAATTACTAAATTGTCAATTAATAATTTTTAATTATTTTAAAAAGACGCAGGATTATCACAAGGACTTCCATTGTATCAAAAGTTAGTAGACTTAGCAGGTGAAGACAGCGGAGTGCTTGTTCCCGAGGGTTCGCTCTCAAAAACTTCAGTAAATAACTGTTTCCAAAAACTCGCGGAAACTAATTACGTCTCTTTCCAAGGATACCTGAAGTGTGGAAACCTGGGGTCAAGGATCCACTTATCTCCAGCGCCGATGAGTTACACAAAACGAACAGACTTTGAACTGGTACCTGGAATGACGATATCTAAGACAATTGAAATCTGCGGGTTCATTTCAGTGAGCGACGTCGGGAGTCCTAATTCAATTTCTCGGCATCTAGTGTTGCCTTTACCAACAGAAAAGACTCCCAGTATGCAAGGCGTGGTGTCTTTAGAGGAAGAATCTGATGCTGAAGACACTAGTGATGAAGGAAAGTTCGCTTCTTTTTGTGTCTTACTCCACGGAGCGCTAAAAGTCGAGAACATGGCTGCGCTTTGTCTTCTCCAAACCGACTGGTATGGATTTATTTACTCTTGGGCAGATACCAAGAAAAAATCGAACCTTATGCTGACGGTTTTGGAGCCTGGAGCCTATGTCGTACCTTGGTTAGGAAATTTTAACCATCTAGGGCCTGCTGATGTTGTCAGCAAGAATGTTGAGGTTCTGGCTTTTCCTATCAAGCCTACTGAAAAAAGAAGTTACTCTCAAAACGCACCTTCTTGGATCAGACAGGTCGGATTGCAGTCTGACATTCAGAAAATTTTGAGGCATGCGAGAAAATTGCCAGAAAAGACTCAGAATTTTTACAAAGTAAGATTAATTTTTTTTTTTTTCTTTTAATCATTTTTTATTTACTTGATAATTTTTTTTTTTTTTTCACAGGAATTAAACAGATTACGTCGCGCAGCATTGTCCATGGGATTCATTGAACTGCTTGATGGATTAGCTGCAATATTTGAGCGCGAATGTACGCTACTTCCCACAAACTTACACTACGACTGTGCGATTCAAATGGGACATGTCGCAAATATGTTAAGAAAACCTTTTTCTAGGGAATTAAAAAATAATATTACACCTATTAAAAGCGCTAAATTTCATCAAGACCAATGAATATTTGTATTTAAAATTTATTAATTTATAAAAAAAAATATTTTTCATTAAACAATTTTGCAATAATATTTAAAAATTTATGATAAATTTTCAAGTAAGTGACACACAATAGAATCAAGGCCTTGAGCGGTGACAGAAGTTGGATAAACGTCAAAATCAGGTACATGAACAAAAATAGTCTTTTTGCATTGAACACGCAACGACTGGAAATACGTGTACTCACATAAATATCTACCAGCGTCATCGGACACACACGCTTCGCAGAATTTTTTTTTATTAACTTCTTCGCAAATTTTTTTGACGTCTATTTCAGTAGCGAGAACCACTTCGCAATCGCTTCCTTCACATGGGCTGCATTCCTTGACGTCTTTTTTTGAATATCCATACCCATGGGCTTTATTTTCTATCGTTAGACACTTAGCAGCACCGGAGACCCCAACATGAATCATAAACTGGACAAAAATCATTAAATAAGCCAGTTAATAATTTTTAAAAAATTAGTATTGAATTTTAATATTTACCAGTGGGTCATACTCCTTCCACAGTTCAGGTACTCGGCTGTCAACATGTTCATAAACAACTGGAATTTTTTCAATAATTAAATTGACATTATAATTTTTTTTTAATTTATCATTTGAAATTTTTGAAAATTCTTTTACTGCTTCCCAACTAGCATTGATCTTATGGTCTCCAAAAGGACCAAATCCAGTGACTACAATATTTTTTATTTTTATTTGCTCCATTAAAAATTAATTTAACAGGAAAATAATTACACCCACTGATTTATTAAAAAATCATCTGATAAAAAATTATCTATTTGATTTCTTATCATGTCATATGCTCATGCTGCTTTGGAATAAAAAAATAACATTTATTTACACCGCCAGGTGATTGGTCACGTGGTCTCTTGATGTGTAGACAGTGATAGTGAGTTTCCATAGCCTAAAAATTCTAAAGCAGTAAAAAAATAGTATTATACTAAATAAGTTGAGAAATCTCTTGACGACCTTGACAGTTTTTTTTTTTTAAAAAAGTAAAAAATAAAAAAATCATGATTAATCCATTGGAAAAATTGACATCGTTTTTAAACTACTGGTACTTTAGGTACATGCTCGTTACCGAGCTCTACATGGTTGAAAAATGGGAGAGAAACTTTATCCGTATCCTTTTTTATTTTTATTAAAATTTATCAATAATTAATTAATTATAGTTTTGTAAATGCATGGCTTAAAAAAATTGTTTTTATTTTTTTTTTATAATTATGAAGCAATTTTTTTAAGTTTGTTCTACTTTTATTAAAAAAAAAAAATAATCATCTGACAGTTACTCATTTATATTGTTATAAAAATTAAAATGAAAATTAAATTAGCCATCTGGAATTTTTTAAAATTTTATTGTTGAACAATATTATTTAAAAAAAATAAAAAAAAAAAAATTTGACATGTAAAAAATTTGAAAAAGAGTGCAATTTTTTAAAAACATTTTTTTACTTGTAATTTTTATTAATTAAAAGTGAATTATAATTTTTCAAAAAAAAAAAAAGAATTAATTTTCTTCAATAAAAAAAATCAACTCTATAAAAAATAAATTTCTTATCAATAATTTAGATATATTTATGCTGATACTATTCGGACTGACATTCCTCTTCAACTATACAATCGTCTTACCCACAGCAACAAGCTTATTTATCCGTCAATAGTCACCACTGCGCCACATAAATAATATGTCAATACCAAGGAAGTAATTGTCAATAAACAAGTGATTTGTTCAAGATAGTCATTATTATTATTATACATCAATTAATTAATAATTATAATTCATTAATTATTTACAATACAAATACAATAATATTATTAATTAATTAAGAGCGTAACTAACAATTCATTCGATTCATTTATTTATTTCGTTTATTTATGTGATTATTTTTAACTCTGAATTTTGCTAATACAATCATTATTAATTTGGCAATAATCAATCATTTTTTTCATCAGTCTTTTTTAGTAAGTTTGGGCGGGTGAGTTTATACCAACTTATACCATCAACAATTACTTCTTTTCAACAGGAATATAATTATTAATTTATTTTAATTATCAATTTAGATAAACTGTTTTTTTTTTTTTTTTTTAAATTGTTGATTACACTTCTGATAAAAATGCTTTAAATATTTATTCTGTACCTTCAATTCATATTTATATTCAATTATGCATTGTATTGTATTATATATAATAATAATTGGTCCGAATGTCACATTAATAAATATTCAATTTATTTATTTATTATTTGTTATTTTTATATTATGCATTTATTATTTTATACGGTTAAATAATTAATAACGATAAGCCAATTACAATTTTTTCTTCTCATTATTTTCATTAACAATTTTATTATTTAATTATAATCTTCTTCAAATAAAAAAAAAAATTATACGAGTCCGTAGTCACTCGTAATATTAGGCTATTAAATTTTGTTAAAAAATAAAAATTTTTTTTCTAATTTCATTTTATAATTTTTCTGTATACCGTCATCTCTTTTTTTAATTACAATTATTCTAATAATTATTTATTATATATATATATATTTATATTTAAAGACGGTAATTTTTTCTAATTACATTTTTTTTTTAATTGAACCAACAAATATTTTTTTTTATCAACAAATTTACTTCTTTTAATTCAAAAAAAAAAAAAAAAGAAATAAAAAATTGTTAAAAAAAAAAACTCACCCTTACATATCCAACAACGATGAACACCAACACGGACAGTTTATCTTATTAAATATTTAGTTTAGTTTATAATTATCATTATTACTATTAATCATTAGACATAGGCACGATAGGAGTAATTACTGATCACTTACATAACTGGGAAGATTTAACCATTTCCTTATTTTTTTTTTGCTATTACTTTGTCTCAATTTCTTCACTTAATAAAATAATTTATCAATTATTTAAATTGAGTAAAAATAAATCGATAAATATAAAGTTTAAGTAAAGCTTAAATAAAATAAATGGACAATTTAATTTATAAAAAGATTATAATGTAAAATATTGCAGCTAATATCTATTTATAAAGCATCTTTTAATCATAAATACTGTTCGATACTTTATAAATTTTCTTTTTCTTATATCAACAATTATTAAAATATAATTACAATTTATTATGTATATAATAAATCAATTTTTTTTAATTTATTTATCGTTAAGTTTTGCTTAAACACAAAACAATAATTCATTATGCAAAATATTTTGATTTTTAAATCGAGTTTTGAAATAATAATAATAATTATAATAAAAATAAAATAGGAAAATAATAATAATCCTTATTCCTTTCAATAACTTCAGTACTCTTTAACTAGTAACGGATAATTAAATAGTACCTTTTTTTTTTTTTAACATCAATAAGATTCCCTTGAGTTAAATCATTGCAACGTAACACATTAGAATACATAATTATCAACTAATTATCCAACTGGTTAATTAAAGCGGGTTGATTCAAATCATTGGTAAATATGATATGGATCTTCCATACAACATAATGTCATTTTCGCTATCCAATCTTCTTACGCGCACTCGCTGTTTATAATGGTACTCCTTGAGATAACTTTTTAGGGTCTTTGGCAGCTGTAGCTTGTTTATACCGTCGTATGTCGTTCGAGTTGTGATAACAGCGCGGCAGAGATGTTGCAGTGGAAAAGCGAAATTACGATGGAGTGGAATTGTCAGCATTGGCTCAAAGAACATACAACACGATGGGTCCTTGTAGTGCTCTATTAAACCACACACCTGTAAAATGCCATGTGGGTACTCAAATGAAAGGTCTCGATGAGTGTAACATCGGGATGAGCTTATATCATTAAAAATGTCTGTAATTAAGAAATAACCTTGTATCTTGTGAACTATTGACATTTTTAAAGATATAAGCTCATTCCGATGTTACACTAGTCGAGACCTTTCATTTGAGTACCCACATCAATTTTTCATATATTTATATATTTCACAAGTACTATATATATATATATAAAATATATCAAAAATGTCATGTGGGTATTCAAATGAAAGGTCTCGATGAGTGCAACATCGGGATGAGCTTATATCTTTAAAAATGTCAATAATTAAAAACTGACATCGCCATTTTGTTAACTAATGACATTTTTAAAGATATAAGCTCGTCCCGATGTTATATTCATCGAGACCTTTCATTCAAGTACCCACATCAATTTTTCATATATTTATATATATATATTATATACATATGTATATATGAAAAATATATCAAAATGTCATGTGGGTACTCAAATAAAAGGTCTCGATGAGTGCAACATCGGGATGAGCTTATATCTTTAAAAATTTAAATAGTTAAGAAAGTACAATGCAATTTAACGAAATTCATTATTTAATAAAGCAAAATTTTATTTATTTATAATTCACAAGTCACGGCAGTCACATAATTGAAAAAAAAAAAAATATTAGAGAAAATATTTGAATTAATAAATATAAAAAATATAATTACCGTATCGGAAGCGTAAACACCAGGATCGTGTGAATCAAAACTAAACTTATGATTCCATTGTTCTATTCTAGCGTGCAAGGATTTCCCATATTTACGAAAACTAACTGAGAAAAGAAATTCTTCTTGCGCAGAGTCTCTCAATAAAAATGTTCCTTCCTGTTTACCATCAAGAAGACGCTCGGCTTCGTACCGGTCCATTTTACCCCAGTAAAAAGTACATGCGGTTATAGACTGTAAGTCAGGTACTAGGCAATGTACATAATCGACCTGAAAAAGTAATTAAACGAATGAGATAATTAATTGCTTGCTTCCTGTTATAATACTCGAGTTTATTTTCAGGCTAATTAAAGCTCTAATGACTCTATTAATTACATTGGGCTAAAAAGAATTACTGTAAAAAAATGTACCTGTGTGTGAGCCGGTCTTTCGATGTTTGAAACAAGGGTAATGTCCATTTGAGACAAAGCGGTTACGGCAGCCGCTTGGATTCCGACGTGAGCTTGGAAGAGGGCTGTTAGGTCTTCGACGGTTATTCCGTTCGGGTGAACTGGAATTGTGGAAGAATAATTAGGCCTGTAACCTGGCGGAGGCTCGACACCTTCCTCCATTTCTCGGGCTCGCTGTTGCCTTGCTCGTTCATCACAATCCTGAATTTTTAAATTTATTTAACAATTAATAATTAGCTCCATCATAAATTTAATATTAATTTATTAAACATAATCTTGACCTAGAGTTGTGCCTTTTCATAGTTTCATATCATTCTCACCAATAGTCAATTTATTATGATAAGTATTTAGGCTGCATTCGAAAATTCTCTATCTTTAGATATATAATTATGAAATTACCTTGTATCTCATGAACTATTGAAATTTTTAAAGATATAAGCTCATCCCGATGTTATTTTCATCAAGAGCTTTCATTTGAGTACCCACATCAATTTTTCATATATTTATATATATTATATATAAATATGTATTTATGAAAAATATATCAAAAATGCATGTAGGTACTCAAACGAAAGCTCTTGATGAGTGTAACATCGGTATGAGCTTATATCTTTAAAAATGTCAATAATTAAGAACTGACATTGCTATCTTGTCAACTAATGACATTTTTAAAGATATAAGCTCACCCCGACTATACACTCATCGAGACCTTTCATTTGAGTACCCACATCAATTTTTCATATATTTATATATATATATATATATATCATATTATATATATAAATATATGAAAAATTGATGTGGGTACTCAAATAAAAGGTCTCGAACATAGGCACGATAGGAGTAATTACTGATCACTTACATAACTGGGAAGATTTAACCATTTCCTTATTTTTTTTTTGCTATTACTTTGTCTCAATTTCTTCACTTAATAAAATAATTTATCAATTATTTAAATTGAGTAAAAATAAATCGATAAATATAAAGTTTAAGTAAAGCTTAAATAAAATAAATGGACAATTTAATTTATAAAAAGATTATAATGTAAAATATTGCAGCTAATATCTATTTATAAAGCATCTTTTAATCATAAATACTGTTCGATACTTTATAAATTTTCTTTTTCTTATATCAACAATTATTAAAATATAATTACAATTTATTATGTATATAATAAATCAATTTTTTTTAATTTATTTATCGTTAAGTTTTGCTTAAACACAAAACAATAATTCATTATGCAAAATATTTTGATTTTTAAATCGAGTTTTGAAATAATAATAATAATTATAATAAAAATAAAATAGGAAAATAATAATAATCCTTATTCCTTTCAATAACTTCAGTACTCTTTAACTAGTAACGGATAATTAAATAGTACCTTTTTTTTTTTTAACATCAATAAGATTCCCTTGAGTTAAATCATTGCAACGTAACACATTAGAATACATAATTATCAACTAATTATCCAACTGGTTAATTAAAGCGGGTTGATTCAAATCATTGGTAAATATGATATGGATCTTCCATACAACATAATGTCATTTTCGCTATCCAATCTTCTTACGCGCACTCGCTGTTTATAATGGTACTCCTTGAGATAACTTTTTAGGGTCTTTGGCAGCTGTAGCTTGTTTATACCGTCGTATGTCGTTCGAGTTGTGATAACAGCGCGGCAGAGATGTTGCAGTGGAAAAGCGAAATTACGATGGAGTGGAATTGTCAGCATTGGCTCAAAGAACATACAACACGATGGGTCCTTGTAGTGCTCTATTAAACCACACACCTGTTTGATAAAAAAATTTCTATTAGCATAAAAGTTATCGGCTTAATTTAAAAATAACAATTTATGATGATTTAGGCTGCATTTTAAAATTCTCTATTTCTAGATACATAATTAAGAAAATGACCAGGTGTCTTGTGAAATATTGACATTTTTGAAGATATAAGCTCATCCCGATGTTACACTCATCGAGACCTTTCATTTGAGTACCCACATCAATTTTTCATATATTTAGTATAGGTAGTATAGTTCACAATAAGGTCTAAGTCATATATATAAATATATAAAAA